GGGGGGGGGGGGGGGGGGGGGGGGGGGGGGGGGGGGGGGGGGGGGGGGGGGGGGGGGGGGGGGGGGGGGGGGGGGGGGGGGGGGGTGGAGTGAGGCGTGTGCTCGAGGAGCCACATTTCTTCCGATGTATACAAAAATAATACCTCAAAATGCAAAATTAATAATTTTCAAATGTAATTAAATAATAATATCCAGCAAGTATAAATACATACATATGTATGTACGTACATATGTATAGATATTGCGCACATAAATGCCAAAAATTGCTTATTAAATAAATTTTTGCAAATTTATTTATAATTTGTCATTTTTGTACAACCTATGTACACCAAAGTTCTTACACAAATCTTTCTTGATTAAAAATGATACAGGGCAACACTGATTTTGGTACGACAAATGTTAAAGCTGTTTTCAATGGATATTTTTCTGCTGATTACGAATCCGTAATTATAAAGTTTTCATCAGGTCCAGATTTTAAGAAAAACGAGGTCAAAATGTCAAAAAATCGTGTTTTTGCAAAATTTATAAGCTCTAGCAAAGAAAGAGAAGGTGCTAGAATCTTCCGCTTACGCTTAAATTAAAGCTAGGACTCTCGACTACTGTCCCTGTAAATACCATCCCTGCACCTTGACCTGATGGTCAATTACAGCGACTTATTTAACAGCAAAAAGTGTCAACAAATCGCATTTTTTGCCATATTTGAGAAGCTCTAGCAAAGAGAGAAAAGCTGATGGAACCTTCCACTTAGGCTTAAATTAAAGCTAAAATTCTCGATTCTGTCCTTGTAAATACAATCCCTGCACCCTGACCTGATGGTTACTAATAGTCAATTATTGAACAATAAAAAAAATACTGAAAAATTGTGCTATTGAAAAAAAAATGTGCCAAAATCATTTTTTGCTTTAAAATAAATTACCATAAGTGACCTTAGGGTGAAGGTGCAAGGATGGTATTTTTAGGGATTGCAGTCGAAAGTTCAAGCCTTAATTTAAGCCTAAGTGGAAGGTTCTAACGCCTTTTGTGCGGAAGGTACTCAAACTTCGCTAAAACCAGTATTTTCAGGAATAGTAGTCGAGAGTTCTAGCTTTAATTTAAGCCTAAGTAAATGGTTCTATCACCTTTTGTTTCTTTGATAGAGCTCCTAAAATATTACACAAAACGCGATTTTTTAACATTTTGGCCTCGTTTTTCTCAAAATTTGGAGAGATGGTAAGTATTGAGTTACGGGTTCGTAATCAGCACAAAAAAGTCTGTCAAAAACAGCTTTTAAAAATCGACTAATGGTTCTACATCAACTTTGTGTGTTATGCACAATATACCAAAAATTAATGTGTGTGAATGCACAATTAACTTTTAGTTTAGTAGTTTAAGTGTCAAGCCAGAAGCATAAATGTGCAAATTTACCAATTTTGAGTTAATGGGTTGACTTGATTAACCTTTGGATGTTTTATGTTATACCAAAACCCAGATAACCATGCGTACACGGAATCCATATGTTTTACAATGTCAATTACATTAATTTAGAGTTAAGTCTGATAAAAAAACTTTCAAACTTGATTTCCCAACATTTTGATTAAGAGTTATGGCGCATTTACATGGTATGAAGCCATATGAACTGTTGATACGCTAAAATAGAGGGACTACATGTTCTAATGAGGAATTCAATGATATCGAGTGGGATGCATATAATAAATTTTTTCATATGAAAAGTTATGGGGAGATACTGTAAACATACTGTTGTGATACTGTTAAGCATATGAAATTATAGCAAGTTGAATTTTCATACATCTTCCCATAAAAAGTTTAACAGATGCAGAGATACCAAGGGGGGTTTTTCCCATTTTGATGCCTTTTTAATATAAAAACCCACCGAAAAGGAGGAAAGCGGCAACTCCGCCATTCACATACATGTCAAATATAGGCTTATTGTTACTTAAACGTGATATAAAGCTCATTAAAATGTTCTGTAATGTCTTGTTGTAAGTTTGTTATCATAGTTCTTCGTATTTTTGTTGTCCACTAAACGTGAGTGGCTTCAATTTAAAAAGTTCTAGTACAAAGAATTTCTTTGTTTTGAATTTGTTTGTTTATTGTTTTTAATTTTTAAATTCATACTT